CAGTTTATTCCAAGATACATCTAAAATGCTTTCCCACATCAATACCACTGAGTGAATTACTGTTGTGAAATCAGTTTGTGCCAATTCTTTCTCTATACCTTCTCAATTCCCCTGCAACCTCTGCAGCTCGGTTCTACCTATCTTAGCACTGAGCATTTCTTTTACAGCAGACAGACCCATTGATTTTGTTAGGACATCTCCTGGGATCAAACCCTCCCCAGTTTAAATTATGATGGCAGACGCTGTCTCTAAACATCTGCTGGCTGCTGGAACAGCTCTCTGATTACAAGCAAGCAATGCCAATGAATGTGAAATTACTTATCAGAGAAAAAAAAAAATAAAAAAATAAAAGAAAATATTTGAAGAGAGTTACGCCAGGCTCGGTGGCGGGATGGGAAGGCATTTTGGAGAGATCACAAAGACAACGTTGTCAAAAATTGATTTGGCTTATTCAAAGCACTAAGATACGTGATTGTGAGAAATTGTAAGATTTCAATTCCCCTATTCAGCTTGGAGTTTCTTTAGATTCTAATTACCACAGCTTAGAAGAAAAGAAAGCAACTAACAGAAGAAAAATGACCTTTTATGGAAGCTTGGCACTTAAATCTGGGAAGGTTTAAAAACATTATTGTAAGAGTTTGTTATATAAAATACTCTTAGTAACACTTCATATTAAACAAATAGAGAAAAATTCCCTTAACTGTGTCAGGGCGTGTCACTGCTGACCTGCTTCTCACCTACAGGGCCACTTGTGATCTTGAAAAAGGATCCGTACTTGCAAGCAGAGGGAAGAAATATTACATTCTTAACACAGAACTGCAACGTGTCCTTGGGCATTGTGCCGAAGGTATTGGGATGAGCGATTTGAGCAGCCCTGCCACCTCAGCAGTATGCTGGAGATGGGAACGCCTCACAAGCCCCAGCACCGCCTGCTTCCCAGGGCACCTCCAACACCACCCAGCAGTGGGCTGGGGCTCTCCAAGCTGCCGAAACAACAGCAGCGATGATCACGCAGCGGGTCTGATGGCACATGGAAGTGGTTTGCACCCCAGCACTTCAGACACCAGGCACATGCCCAGATCAGTGTAATGGAGATGGCCTTTCTCACTGTACTGGACATTTGAAGTTCATACCCAAATTCCATGGCTTGAACTCACCTCTTCTGATAACGTGTAACCTAACAGTCTAACTTGTGGCGCGCTGTCTTTCCTTTGATAGGACAACAGAAAAATTAAAGAATGCATGATTGAATCAGGCACGAGCTTCCCACGGGATAAAATTAAACAGCTTTCTGCTGGTGCTGCGAAGGAAAACTGCATCAGGTACCACTGCAATGATTTAATCACGCAGCATTTGAAAAAGGAACAGCAGCATGTATACCACAGCAACATCAACGGGAAACCCAAAGCTGAGAAATGCCAGATATCTGGTTAAATAACGAATTCACCTTTCCCCCCTTTCCATATGATCTTGGAGATTTCTTTTTGACAAGAAAAAGGTTTGTCTCTTCTTGGTAATAAGAGTTGATGAGGTGTAAGAAGAGAAAAGGAAAATCTCAGTGTTTCCATTCCTCCAGCAAAGCCCTGCATTAACAGAGAAATCAGCCTTTACTTGCAGCTCCTTCTCCTATCATCTGTTTGCAGAAGTTCATTGCTTAATTCCCATTCATATCGCCTCTGTGGAGAATAACAGGCTGATGACATTTCAGTTAATCATAATCTTCCCCTTCTGTGACAACCTGCCAGCAGCCTTTTTGAAAATAAACTTGCAGAATGAAATTTTTTAAAAGAAGGATTTTTCCTCATCCTCATGGAGGGGAAGAGCTGACAAGATGAATATGGGAGAATATTTTACAAATGAAATTATATATATATATATATTCTGGATTTATTACCATCTCCCTCTCAATATTTGATGTAACTTGTCTGGCAATTTTCTAATTAACCTAACTTTATGTTTTTGCCTTTATCCTCTTTGGCATATAGGACCCCTACTGCCTCTCTAATGTGCTTACTAGCAAGTATACCTTAAGTGTCCATGGACTAACTTAATTATGAGGCAGCTATACAAGTGCTAACATAATCATCCCTTTGTGTGTGTGCGTGCAGAGAGAAAATCCTGTGCAGGGTAGGAAAGCAAGGAACCTTTTAGGAGACTTCCAGCCATTAATGCTAGACATCTTACATGTCATGAAGTCTAATAAATATGACCATTTTAACACAGTAAAGGAACGGGAAATGCAAGAGTGAATTGGGAAGAACACGGGAGGGCTTGGAAGGTTGGCTGGCAGCAAGGCTCACAGGAGCCATCACCAGCAGTTGAACTGAAGTCATGGCAGGTGTAAGATTTGGGTTGAGGCCACTGAAACCCAAGGAAATACTATGGGCCAGAGGCAAAACCACAAGCAGAGGCATCACGGACAAACAAAGAGAGAAGTCAGAGGCTGCCTCATCCAAAGTGACAGCTTTTGTGAAAGTTCAATCAAAGCTGCACAAGTGTCAGCACCTTTTGTTCACAGCAACAAAAGGCAGGATGTTGAGCTCTCTGGAAATAGCCTATCTCGTAAAGCACTGCAATGTCATCAAGAAGAAGAAATTCAAGTTTCTATCAACAACTGCCAGCTTAAAGTCAAGAAAATATCCAGGGGCAGGCAAAATGAAAACCTCCTTCATTAACACAGTCAGTTAAACTACGATGTCTGAACAGAAAGCCCGTGGTTCCTTCCTGAAGCTGAATACGCAGTTGATCTTATAGAGATAGTTGATCTTACAGAGACCTTTGTCAGCAGAGCAGAGGGTCGGCAGTTCATTTGTGACACGGAGAACCAACAAAGAAGTGAGAGCATATTCCAGCAGCCTTGAGCCTGTTAGGCCAAGGAAAAGTGAAGGAAAGAAGGGAAGTTGTTGCATGACTGGTTGAAAGACACTTGTGCTGGCATCTCTCTTTGAAGAAGGTGCAGTGTTGCCATGGCTGGGGCTGTCTGGGGACCGAGATCCAGAGCTCTTTGCAGGAACCCTAGAGCCTCCAGGAGTACAGATGGATTTCCTGATCTTGCTGTAAATGCAACAGAGTTGTGAAGAAATTCACTCCATCCTTTCTCCAAGGGACAATTTCCATAGGAACACAAAAACATCAACATTAATTTTCATTTATTACAAGAGAAATCGGTTAGCTGTGGATAGCTGGTTTGCTACTTCTTTCCCTCCTTAGAAGAATTAATAGAGAAGTCAAACACTTAGGCAGCATTAGCACTGAAATAGATTTCTTTCAGAGAACTTTCATTCCAGCTCCTTCTGCAGTGGGTAGGGAACTCACACCCACCACACACCCCCACGGTCTATCTGACTTCTTCACACAATGTACAGTATAATCACTCTGCACCTCCACTACAGAAGGTGGCCAGCCGCGTGACTGGTAACCATAGCAGCTGCAATAACCCAAAAAACCCACTGCTGAATGTATGCACGAGTCTGCTGCTTTAGCATCACTTTATTTTCTGTGAACAGTATCAATGGGTGTACCTCAAGATGTCCCAGTGATTGGTGAGAAAAGATTCTGTTCCTTGCCACATGGAAAACAGCATGTCTCGCACAGAAGAATGTTTTCTGTCAGCCTCTTGACTTTTGTAATGTCTAGAGATATTTTTCAGGAGCTGTAATCTTAGGCATTCAAACCAGGATTTCTATTTCTCGTATGGGAAAGATTGGTCCTGGAGATTTTCCATGCTGGAATCTCTGGTCTTTTTCCTGTCATGTGCTGAGCGCTGCCTGCCAGGGACTGAGAATTAATGGCAGGCAGTAACATTTGATTCTCTCCCAGTAACAACGCTAAAACCCAGTATCATGATACCACTAGCTGCCTCAGTGCTATTAGCTCTTTCAGGCAGAAACAATGAGCTTTTTGCAGGTGGGACATGTGGGTAGGGAATTTTCCCCTTACCTCTCCCTAGTTATCACTTTGCAGCTGATCAAAAGCTTGGGAGAACTTCATCCCTTGGAGGAGGCTGCATCAGGATGGAGCTCTCCTCCAAGACCTTCCTGGGCTATGGGAGCTCCCTCCCCAAGGACCTATAGACCCTTCTTAACCCAATACATCAGCAGCTTTCTGCCCTATTCTCTCCCCATTGCTGGAGTGAACGCACCATGAATATAATAATACACCAATGCTATGGAAGAGAGTGGAGAAGAAGGGGAGTAATGGCAAGAGCAAAATGAAGCCAAGCAGCATCACTGCGGGCAGAGCAGCAAGGACCTAGGACTATTGCTGTGGATATTTTGACAGAATATCCTCTTAGCTTTGGTAGCAAATCCACTACTGTGGGCATTTAGAAGGCTGCTAGCTTTACGGTGCTGGTACACCACTGCATCCACTATCTAAAGCATTCAGTTCCCGACAGTATGTCACACTTGGACATAATCCAAAGCCAGTGACAGTCTAAGACCTGTGAGTTATAAAGCCGATCCCTGCATGCTTATTTATATTAGAAAGCTCACATTTCATCCCAAAGCCCAAAAGCAAGATATATATACCTCAACGTGCAACAAATTACAGATGACTCATGGAATCCGAGTTCAAGTCTTTTGGACTGCAGCACAAATGCTACCACCAAAGCAGCTGCTTGGCAGAAGAGTCCCTTTCTTCTGTCTTTAGGAATATCAGGAGCATCAGAAAACCCAGTGCTATTATTTTCAGCAACATCGTTTTGTTCAGAGAAAGCACAGCAAGTAGGGATTTAGCATCATCTAAAAATGAAACTTAATGCTGCAAATGCAGTCTTTGCAGAAATCTGGAGTGCTCAGGTAACAACCTCACAGGCCAGGCTTGTTTTAATTACTGCTAAAACAGTGGAGACACATAAGGACACTTGACCAATGTACAGAACAGCTGATCTGGGCACCTCCAGAGATAAAAGCATGAGTTGCTACAGTTTTGGTCAATGTGCTGTAATTATTAATTGCAATAAACATTCATCTTTGAAAACTAGCATATAAAAAGCTTACCAGGAGCATTGGTTCACAGCCTCTGGGTACCAATGTGAGCCAGAATTTGCCCTCAGGAGACCAAGGAGAAGGTACTTAAGAGAATATTGGGACTATGACTGCCTCATTCCTTCACAAGGGCAAAAAAGAACAGGCTCTTCACAAGCCTCCTTCCCTGTTAAGCAGGGCACTGCTGGCAAAAACCAAGCCAGGAACATCAGGCTAGAAGGGGCTGCTGGAAAAGCCCAGCACTCTGGTTTCAGAGACATGCACCTCGTTACTCACTTCCCTTCCTGCCGAGATCAAATGAGGAATTGTCACACCTGTGGTTCCCTCAGAGCCTCACGTGAGCAACTCATTCATGAATTTCAAACCCCTCAAAGGATCCCTGCTTTAGGCAGAGCCCGACACATGCCGCAGCCTTCCTAGTGTGTTAAAGCTTAGGGCGGTGACAACCCAGACTGACAGGGCTGAAAATTCTACATATTGGTACCAGATATTTTTCATTATTTCTATAGAGTAAGAATTGAATTGTGAATACCAGCACCTAGCTATACACAAACAAAAGATCGTTTACATTATTACATTTTTTCCATGAATCTGTTGTGTAAGAGCTTCTATTCCAACAGAACAACAGTCTCTTGTCTGGCTTTTAATTTTGTGGAAACAATTAACTTAGCATACCATATTTTCTAAGAAATTTAGCCAAACCCAAGCCCCTGATTAAAATTGGATTTCCAGTCAAGCAAATTTTAATTATGTTTCTTCTATCCAGACATTTTCTATTAAGGCTTATTAACTCCCTTTATTTTGCTCTCTTCCACACATAGCAATAATAATTGGGACCAAAAAAAAAAAAAAGTAGCTTAAGTTTTGCCTTTCATTGGAAATGTTTGTTGCTATGCTGATACCTCTTCATGGCCAAACTAGTAAAAATGCAGAGATTTTAAATATTTGTCAGTGTAAGTGGTGTCACTAAGCAGTTTGCATGTAGTTAGACATAGTTGGTAACAGATGTGCTTACATCAGCTCTGATAACATTCAGAAAATCATTTAACAGAGACTTCATAATGACTGCAAAATGATATTCAAAAGTAATTACTTCCCTTGCAGCATTCAGGTCCATCTTGCGGCTGAATATAATCTTCACATATTAGTATATTACACATTTGGAGAGGAATTGGTGAAGTAATTGCTAGTACAGTGAGGAGTGATCATCATTCATCTTACAGTATGGCCTTGCTTTAAATAGCTATTGAAAGGACTAAGTCAAAAGAGGTAACCTACATGTAAAAAAAAAAAAAAAAAAAAGCGTGAGAGATTCAGATATTTTATAATTTGGTTGGGTATGAATAACAAGTAGACTTTCTATTTGTAACACATTATTCACAGCTATGGGAAGTTATGGCACCATGCCTCCCTTTAATTTGTTGTTGCTGGGAAAGGCTGTGGAAGTTGGCTTAGCATTGATTTTTTAAACACTCTAAAGATTCAATAGATACAGATGCACTTTTTAGAAACGCCATGGGAAACGCCTGACTCTCCGTGTGCTTGTTGCCATTGCAAGAGGACGTCTCAACAGCGCAAAGCACAGCACCGTGCCTGGTAATGGGCCTGAAAGATCAGACCTGCAGTTAGTTGCTGTGATCATTAGGCTGCTTTTTCACCTGTGTATCTCTTCTTCCCATATGTGCTCTGTAATGAAATGTAGCAGGCTGTTAAGGATGAAGAGTAATGGGAGCAGTTCTCGCTCTTTCATTTGTAATTTGGATAAAACACTTGTGACTGTAGCTCACTTGGCGATGCGGTGATTCATACAGATCATCCTGCTGAGCTTGACTCAACCTGCTAACTCTTGAGCAAAATGAGCAGACTCAAGCCCCTTTGTTCAGAGGAGAGAGCAGAGCGCTGAGGCAAAATTCAGACCCTCTGGGAACAGGATAAGGACCTGCTTAAGTTCTGTGGTGCTTTCACTAAGGCTCCTCACAAGCAGGCTGCGGTGGCGTCTGTGACCTTGGCAGGATTGCAGAGGTCACCTGTTCCTTCAGATAAACACCTGGGAACAGAGAGCTGGAGGAAGCTTTATGAGGGCTGTAAAAGCATCATAGCCTTTACAAAACATTTAATAAGATTTCAGAATGCCCCTTTAAAAAAAAAAATAAATAAAAAATGAACCTTTAGAGGAAAAAAAAAGTCAGAAATTACTGTTGTAGCTCTGGCTCCAGTTCCTACATATGAGGGTTAGAAAGTTGGATTCTGCTCTGCCTTCCCCTTGCTTGAAGCAGCAGTCTTGAATCCCATACCACTGAAGAGTTAATCCTTACTGTTTCTCCTTATTCTTGATTATTAGCTATTGCCTGCATTGCTTTTATAGTCTATCCTCTTCAGTTCTCCAAGTCATATTTTCTTCCTTCTGTGGGTGTGCTCCCCCTCCCCCCTCATTTTTCTTGCATTGCAGAAGGATTTGCGTATTGTTAATATTATTTTTACCACGCTTCTCCTTGTTCTCATTTTAAAAATAATTTTGTTTTCCAGAAACCCTCTCACAAGGTGACCAGTCTAAGCTCTGGTTCTCTCTCCCAGATGATCATTCCCATCACCCCAACCCCATTGCCACTGCCCTGAGCGCTGGGGAGAGCAGGGCCGTGGTGGTCAAGCAGAGGTTTCTAGAGATTTTCTTGTTTCCCCAGGTGGTTTGGAGGCCCTCATCGAGCCTGGCCGAGGATGGAGCCATACACACAGCTCCACTGCTGTTGCTGCCTGCCAGGGGGATGAGCAGGAGGCTGGACAGCCCCTCAGGACAGCAGGAGTGTCCATCATGGCCTCATCCGGCCTTGCTGCGGGTGGGCTGCAGAGCACAGAAGGTTCCAGCTATCCGCTCCCTAACCTCCTGACATGCACATGGAGAGGCAGGATGTAGCCCGTGGAAGGAACCGGCTGTGTTTTCACTGCACAAGGACATCACACTCTGGCCTGCGTTTCTCAGCAGTCAAGTATGTGCCTGGTGGGCTGGCTCCAAAGCTGTCTCTAGCAGCAGGGCTGGTCTGCTCCCTGCAGCCGCCGTGCTCAGCTCCTCCCCAAGCCCAGCCCTCCTCTCACGGCGTGCCATGGAGCGCACAGACAGCCATGCAGGACCTCACGGTTGAGCCTTCATCCCAAAAACTCTCCTACCACCCACTCAGAGCAAACTCATTTTGTTTGCCTAACGAGAACAAAGGGCTGAGCCAGGTAACCTTGCCAAGCGTACAGCCAGGATTGGAGATGTTCACATCCCATCTATAACACCTGAACCCACCCATTCAGCTAATCCCTACACAGCTATCATAAATCATCCTGTGTCACAGGCATCAAAGGGGCACTGCTTCACCTTTACCAACTTACAAAATAAATAAAAAAAAAAAGAAGTGAAAACAGCCAGTGAAGGTAGGCACAGATCTCCTTTCTTCTTTGCATTCCAGAAAGATGTATCCTGGCAGGTACAGAAGATGCATAAGCAGGATGTGATGGATTAAGAAACACTCCCTCTCCGTACTACTAACTATATTTTTTATTCCTTAAGTCAAAATACCTTTGTTATAAAGGGATTTATTATGTGCTGTTAACTCAAAAACAAAACAAAGCAAAAACCTCTAGAGAAGTGTGAAAGAAAATGTGAGACAAGCTGGAGCTTAAGTCAGACATACAGCATTGCCTGTACACTGTATTGCCATTGAAATAACTTTTCTGCAGTTGTGAAAACCATATTTCCCCGAGGCTCAAAGCAGGGTGTCCAAAGCAGTGCAGGGGTGGGGATACCAAGGCAAGCAGGAGGCTGGCAGGCCTTACTGCACCCCAGGAAGTGGTCACCACCACGCTCACCACATCCCTATCTAGAATGATCAGTTAAATTCACTGACAGATCAGGTCTCTATTCAGACAACGTGCCTACAGGTATCCCATAACACCACAAATAATCTCCTGAACGTCAGTAATCCATAACGCTCGCATGCACATCACTTTACAGTGCCTCAGCACTGAAGTAGCAGCTTCCAAATGCAAAGGGAGGAACACGTGCTTCCAGACAAGATGATTTATTGCAGGTTAGCAGAAAAAAAAAACAAGGATGAGAGAAACGAAACGCGAATCTGGAGCAGAAGGAGCAGTGCCTCCATCATTGCACCCTCTCCCAGCCCCGCTGCTCCGCAGACAGACAGGCAGACTCTGCCTTTGGAGGCTGCCGCAGAGCAAGCACATGCCAGTCCCACGCAGAGATGACTAAGATCCCGACTGTTCAGTTCACTGAGCCCCTCGAAAAAGCCCAAGTAAATACACTGCTTTCCAGAGCCCCCTCAAGGTCAAGAACTTCCCAGAGCCTCCCTTGCTGCCTGCTGCTGGCCGCTTCCCTTCCAGGGGAAAGCTCACTCCAGTAACTTTTGATCCAGCTGATCCTACAGCTTCAAAGGAGTTACTGGCATTTACGTGTCCTTGGGCCCCGTTCCCTGAGCAGTACATTTCAGTTGTGATTTTCCATGTTTACAGTATTTTAAATGTTAATAATGCACAGAAATTGTTTACAGAAGCGAAGATGAGTGATAGCAAGAGAATTTGCAAACATGCTACAACCGAGAGTCTTTTCCGGCCTTTATCTTTTGTTTGGATGAGGGGGTGGATGAGAAATATTAAGGAAAAAGAAAATAACTTGCAGGTTTTTGTTCGCAGCTGAAGTCCATGCTGTCACTGCTGCTCTGCTACTGGCACTTGCAGTGTTTGCCTATGGTGTGCCCGTGCTTCGAGCGGCAGCATAGATCTGTACTTTTTTTAATCACTTTGCTGTAAATTGATTTCAAATCCACATTTTTCATTGCACACACAGAGAAGGGAGCCTAGTTCTCCCTCCTCTGTTGCTGATTGCTTCCAGCTCCCTGTCCTTCTGCCTGGCTTCTGGCCCAGGGAGGTTAGAGAACAGTCAGGGGCTGCACGTCCCCTTCGTCCCCCTGGTGCACCACACGCAGGTATCAGATTCAGGTGCCATACAGAGACCTTTTTGGTCACCAGACAGATTTGTACGAATAGAGTCCATAGGAGACCCCAGATTCAAAGCTGGGAAAGAGATCCTCATGCAGAGGGCTTTCCAACACTGCATTCCTGAGCTGGATGCTAGCACGGGAGCTGGATTCGAATGTAACCTCAGCTTCCCTGGAGCTGAGGGATGCTGGTCTGTGGGACTTTGGCCTGACCAGCTGGGGGGCAGGATGCACGTTCTTACAGAAAGGAAAACATCCTGAGAGCCCAACCAGCAGGAACACAAGGCTCTCTTAAAATTTCTGGTAAATTCATTTTGGCAATAGATAAAATACACAAACCCACCTCTCCTTGAAGGAAAGTATCTGTTAGAACTGCACATCTAGTTCCTATGTGCTCTCCCATGAGAAAAAATACAGCGCTTCTTTCTTCCGCTCATCCTGAGGATATCTTCATTATGCTCCACTAAGAGCTCAGTATTACACGAGGATGTTGTTAATGAATGCCTCTAGGCTGCAAAGGGCAGAGTCTCGAGAGCTCTATGATTAAATGTAACTCGCAGTTCTGTAGTACCTGCCATCTGAAGATCTTGCTTGTTTGTACAGATGCCTGTGAATTAAGCTCAGTCGCTCACAAGTGAACTATTTGTGATAAACACCAAATACCCTGACAGCAACAACGTCTTCCCCAGGGCTCAGAGACTGAATTTTAACGACTTGTGATTGGGATGAGAATTGAAGCCAGGTGCCCACCATTCAGGGGAAGCCCTCCCTTCAGCAGCGTGCACGAAAGGGGGAGAGGAGATGCTCCCACCGCACCCTGTGGCAGTTCAGAAAAGAAAAAGGTGACCTCTTTGCAGCTGTTTCAGAGGAGGTCATAGGCAGTGGATCCCAGGCAGAAGAGCATGCCTTCTGGAAGACACCCAAGGAGCTGGGTTTAAGGCCTACCTACCCACAGTGCTTCCCAGCTGGTTCACTGCAGGCTGAACATGGGAAGCACCATCCTCAGGTTTGTTCAGGTCCCACAACAAAGGAAAGTAAACTCCGTCCTTACACTGTATGTAAAACCCTCGCGTCTAATGCAAGGCTTTAGATTTTATGCAGTCCATTTGATCTCATTCTCCAGAGTTAAATAATTCAATAAAAGTTACAGGATGGCCTGGGAAGGCACGTCTATCCTCTTTCTTTTGTGTCTTATTTCAGTGACTGCTTCACCTCCAGCAAAAGTGATTATTGGCAGAATAATTTGAGACAGGAAAAATAACACAAAGGGATGATTTTATTCTAATCAAAGTGACCAGTAAAAGCTGATAGGTTAAAAAAATGTCACCTCTCATTATTCTAGCTGCCTTTGTTTCAGGAGTCAAAACCAAGCAGAGATTTAGCACTCAAATCCTTAAAGTAGTGGTGAAATGCCATGACACCACTGGGCTGAAAGTTTCACTGCCAAATGCCTTAATCAAAGGTTGAAAGCCCCTGCATCAAGTAGGCTCCTTGTGCAAGTTTTTGTGAGCAAACGTCTTTAGTAGCAATGAGGTCATGGATCAAGTAGACACACGTTCAAGTTGCCAAGTTCAGATCCCTCTTTGTTCAGAGTTTGAACCATTCTAGCTTTAGCTGTTTTGAACAGGCAAGCCCATGGATCTGCAGGCTGTGGAGGTCCAGAGAAGCAGCATCACAGTAATTAGCAGGCTAGTTTTAATTAACGATGAGCTGTTCAGTAATACAATGAATCAATACAGTATATGTCATTCTTGAAGGCTTTTCCAGCATTCTTTCTAGCACTGTTCCATATACGCTAGAGGCAAAATAACGAAATTTCTTTCAGCAAGATGGGAAGAGAAACACATGGTCTAGGCAGGGCAGCTGGTGAAATCCTGCCCGAGGGGGAGGTCTGAGACACTCCACATCGGCGGCTGCAGGGAAATGCATTCGCCCAGCCAATAAGAGAGACTATCCAAAGGTCATGAGGTAGCTAAGCAACAGAAAGGAAAAATCCTCCATTGTGTTACTTCCAGCTGGAAATAAAGCAAAAAAAATAAGTTGCTGGGATTCGTGGCAGTATTGTCCAGTGGGTAGACAGCTTAGCTATGGGAGCAGGGGGGGGTCTGGCTTTACTCTTTCTGCAGGCTTGCTCTGTGACACGAAGCAAATGAAGTATTTTGTACCTTGCTTTCCCCACCTAAAAAATGTATGTGGGATATCTCAGTGTACATAATACACCTTACCACCATAGCAGGGCTGGGAGGTCTACCTTGCTACGCTCCTTTCAGATGCTCAGGTAGAAGAAGCTGCAGAAGTTGAGACGAATATAACTTTTTTCTGTTTATTTCTAATAGGTAGACACACAGTAGGAACCATTTTGACATGTGTTAGTGTAGGTGGAAATGACTCATTTGGCTGCACTGGAAGCTAGCTGCTATAGACTGGCTGCTGGTACAGTCCTAAATAAATCCCATAAAATAGGTCTTGAAAAATAAAGAGAATCTTGCCACTCTGTTACTAATCAACTTAATCTACTTAACATGTACGTAAGAGGATTTATACACATGTGAGCATACATACATGTACACTCCCCATATCGTATCCAGTCTTCAAATTGCCTGCACAATGTGCAAGAAGAGTGCCACAGAATGACCCAGTGTTTTCCTACTGTTTTTACAATATCATAAGACAACCTGGAAAACACCACACAGAAATTTCCTGAACATTGCCTACGTGGTTTTTAAGAGATCTTTATATCCAGAATGGTCTTTAGCAAGAAATGTATTGTAACAGTGAGGACAAACATGTAAGTGACAAAACCAAGGGTCAAACCAAGACCAGAAAAGCTACAAAATCAAGTCCAGAGTTTAATTCCCACTTCTGTCAGGCCTTCCTGACAGACACATGCGTCCTTTAGGGCCTTCCCCATGCTCCAGTCCGCGGATACTCCAAATTTATGCCACCCTGAATGTCGACAGAAGCAAAGCTAGTGGTGGAGGCAAGAACATTTTGATGGCAGCATATTAGTGCCTGGCTCAGGAAACAGGGCCTAACGTTTCTGTAAATTTATACAACTTAATTAATCAATGGCTCAGAGAATTTTCCAGCTAGGAAAGGATTTTAAATGCAAAAATGTGCTTGGAACCCACAGTTAGGTGTTGATGGCTTCCACCCCTCTCCTGTCTAGAATATCAGCATGCTACAGACAAAGCTGCTAAGCCCCCTTCCAGACCTCCTCCCACCACGGAGCCCGGAGGAGCTAACTGAGCAGACCTTCTTCCTTTGTCCTTGCCAGGAAGGAATACTAACACTGCCAGCAGCCAGGCTACAATTATTGCATCGGTTTCACACTCATCCACTTTCAGCCTCACAGCAATGTCACCTGCCTGGGGAAGGATCTC